CATGGCCAAAGCTGCCGAGTTCTGTTGCTTGCTGGGACTGGAACCTGGTCCACTTGCTTAATTACATTGTCACCAGCTTTTTGTTTTCCATGGTTATCTTCACTGCCTAAACTCAGCTGTCCTTGAACTCACTCTGTAGACCAGACTATGCCCCAAACTCAGAGATCTGCCAGCCTCTATCTTCCCTGTGCTGGAAGGTGTGCCCCACCACATCTGGCTCTAAGTTTTTCTTTATTTTTTTTTTCCAACTTTTCAAAAGTTGGAAATTTAGCTAGGTGGGACCTCACTCTGAGGTTGCCACTTCCTTTATTCCATATCTTAATCCATTTATCTCCTTGAATACAGGATTTAACTCCATCAGACTTCCTGGTGCTCTTTTTCTCCTTAAATTTTACATTTTGTAATTTACCCTGTGTAAGCAGAGTTTTTAATGGGGACTGCCAGCTCCCCTGATAAAGACACAGAGACTTAATATTAATTATAAATACTCGGTTGATAGCTTAGGCTTGTTCCTAAGTAGCTCTTACAACTTAAGTTAATCCATATTTCTTATCTACAGTCTACCACCTGGTAGTACCTTTTTTCAGCACAGCATATTCCTCTTGCTTCTCTCTGAATCTCCTGGCCACTCCACCCTCCTTCTTCCCAATGCTCTCTTTTTTATTCAAAAGTCCTTCCTAACCTCTAGCTGCTCAGCTATTGGCCATTCAGCCCTTTATGAGACTAATGAGAGCAACAAATATAGCAACCTTGCTCAGCTTGCTTCTTTTCATTAGAGTTACCACTAATAACCATGTGATAGAGTCTATACTGGGGTGTTTTGAGATTTCCCTGCTAACAGAAATTAATCCCAAACTCTTCACTTTAGCCTCAGGCAGAAACTTCGGACAAAGACAAAAAGCAGCCCCCCCTTTTTTTTTCACCAAAATATCAAAAGACCAGTCTTTAAGCCACACATTAACATTCTTCTCCTCTGAAACCTGTTCATCAAATCACACTCAACACCACCGTCTTCCCTGGTCCTGCTAGTATGGTCCATTAAGCAGTGCTTAAAGCATTCCACTGCTTTCCTAATCCTAAATGCCAAAGTCCATGTTACTCCAAACAAAAACACAGTCAGGCCTATCCCAGCAATACCCCAGTCCCCGGTACTAACTTTTATCTTGTTAAGGTTTTTATTGCTGTGAAAAGATACCATAATGTTGGCAACTCTTATATTTAATTGGGGTGGCTCATTTGCAGTTTCAGAGATTCAGTGCATTATCATCACGGCAAGTAGCATGGTGGCATGCAGGCAGGCATGGGGCTGGCATAGTAGCTGAGAGTCCTACATCTTGAAGGCAACAGGAAGTTGACTGAGACACTGCATGGTATACTGAGCATAGGAAACCTCAAAGCCCGCCCCCCATGGTGACACACTTCCTCTAATAAGGCCATACCCACTCCAACAAAGCCACACCTCCCAATAGCGTCACTTGCTTTGGGGGCCATTTTCTGAAGAATGAAAATGGCCCCCAGGGACTCATAGGGAGTGGCATTGTTGGAGGTGTGGCCTTGTTAGAATAGGTGTGGCCTTGCTAGAGGAAGTGTCACTGGGGGTGGTGTGCTTTGAGGTTTCAGATGTTCAAGCCAGGTCAGTGTCACTCTCTCTTCCTGCTGACTGTCTATCCAGATGTAGAACGCTCTGCTCCTTCTCCAGATCATGTCTGCCTGCATGCCACCAAGTCCCACCATGATAATGAACTAAACTGTAAGCCAGCCCCAATTAAATGCTTTCCTTTATAACAGTTGCTGTAGTCGTGGTGTCTTCTCACAGGAATAAACTCGTAAGACAAAGAGCTATCCTAAAAGCATTAAAAGCAATCTCTACAGGATTTCTAGATGTAATTTTAGGTAATACCTGTGGGGTGGCTTCTAAAACAAAACCTTGAAGGGGATCTTTGGGATATTGTTATCTATATATCCTAACTATCAGTGTGGAATAGTCAACCTACATTTTTATTTAGTAGCACAATGATTTCTGTGGGCTCTTTATCAGTAAGTTGTTTTTAAAAAGTGTCTTTCCCATCATTATCAAGTCTATAATTTTTTGTAAATAAGGAGTTACAGATCATTGCAGAGAATTGTGACATGCATACATTTCTATAATGCCATTCGTTACCTTGTTGTATATAATTCCAGCAGGTGATAAGGAGGAAGGACGGATAAGTAATTGATGATGAATTAAGGCATTAATTCTACAAGCTACCACTTTAGCAGCAGCATTATTAAAAAAAAAAAAAGAATACCTTACTCTGCTTCCAGTGTTATGTTTCTTGTAAAAGTGGGGGGAGGGGCTTAAAGAGGGAGCCAAATTCTTAGTTGTGAGAGACAGATAAGAATGCATCCAACTGCTATGATCCAAAATTTCCTGTAAGTAATCCCCATAGTACTCATGTTCTAAAATCCTCCTCTTATAAGGACACTGGATCTAGGCTCTGCCTTAGTTAGGGTTTCTATTCCATGTCATCAAACACCCTGACCAAAAGCAAGTTTGGGAGGGAGGAAAGAGTTAATTCACCTAACACGTCCACATTGCTGCTCCTCATGGAAGGACCTGGAAGGTGGTACTGATGCAGAGGCCATGGAGAGATGATGCCACTGGCTTGTTCCCCATGGTTTACTCAGCCTGCTTTCTTATAGAACCCAGCACCACCAGCACAGGGATGGCATCACTCGCTAACTAAGAAAACGCCTTACAGCTGGATCTTATGGAGGCATCTTCTCAATTTTGTCCCAACTGGTCTCACCAACCTTGAGCCCCAAATAAACACACAGAGGCTATATTAATTATAAATCTCTTGGCCCATGACTGGGGCTTCTTATTGGCCAGCTGTCTGAATTATTAACCCATTTCTATCAATCTATGTATTGCCACAAGGCTGTGCCTGGCAGATTGTTACTCCTTTGGCAGCATGGCATCTCTGGCCAGGGCCTGCCTACCTTTCTCAGAATTGCCCTCATCTCCTAGTCCTGCCTATTTCCTGCCTCATTGGCCAAACAGTGTTTTATTCATCAACCCATAAGAGAAGGACATCCCCATCAAAAGTTTCCTCCTTTCAGATACCTCTAGTTTGTGTGTCAAGTTGACATAGGAGTAGCCCGCACAAGCTCACACAGTGACCCTATTTTAACCTAGCTAACATTGTAAGATCCCATCTCCTGATCCAGTTACATTCTGGGTTAGGGTTTCAAAATATGAATGTGTAGGGGTGAGGGGAGCAACACAGTTCAGCCCTTTGTGTCAGTCGATGCTGGCCCTGACACTTGGGAGACCTCGGGTGTATAGCATGTGGCTACTGATACGGCAGATGATTGTCTTCTGCCACTATTAGGAGAGAAAGCAAGAGCTCATATTGCTAGAGGTAAGTTCGGGCTCACAAAGAAAGAGACCACCATTCCAACGGAAGGCCCTGGACAAGGCAGCTTTACTCTTGATCAAGAGGGTGTGTGCTGAGGAGCAAACACCCCAAGACAAGAAGTACGTTGGGTTTTTATTAACTCAGCTGTTGGCTGGGGCCCACTTCACAGTCTTATTCGGTTGGCTACTCTCAAAAGAACTGGCCCACAGGAGATGAAGGAGGAAGAGGGAAGGGGTCACTGCTCCAGGCCACCAAATTCCTACAACAGAGGATGCGGTCTTTGTGTAAATAAAGGTTTTGTTTGGTACGGAAGATTAAAACATTTTCATAAAAGTCTTACAGGGAGCAGGGAGATAAAAACAGTTGAATTCCTGGTCCTAAACACAAGTTTTACAATATTTGATAGGAAACAGTCATAGTTGATATTTCTTACACATTTTACATCATTACTCCAAAGTTATGACCTAAATGAGAATACTCTGTCAAGGCAAAGGAGCCATACTATGAAGTATGTAGCAAAACGACGACAAACAAAAAGACGTACATTAAGAAGGCTTGTGGACACATTGAAATATGAGGTTCCTACAGTAGCAAAATGACAACAAATAGAATTTATATTCAGACTTTTTGCCGATCCGTTTGTACATTAGTATTAAGCCTGAGGGAATTAACACTTCTTTTAAAAAATGAAACAAATTCATCGATGTCTTTTGTGTATAATGGGTTGTATTATTGGTCATAAATATTCAATATCATTCCCTAAGGAATGAATAAATTCTTCTGTTTCGAGCAAGCAGGAGCAGACTATTAAAACGTGTCTTCTAGGTAGTCAGCATGCACCAGCCTACATTCCTGCCCAGAGTTACCAACACCAACCATCACTATGCAGACAAGGCTGGTTTCACTGTCCTGCCTCTGCCTCCTGAGTGCTGTAATTGCAACCCCACATTTCAAAAAACCCAGTAACATTTTTTAAGTCTAATTTGGGGAGATCCACCCATTGGACAACCAACATGATGTACTGCCTTTAACAATGCAAAGAGTCAAGGCAAAAGTACAGGTTATACCTGCCCACACTGCTCCCAGCACCCGGCGCTCCCACCCAGAGGGACAGCTTTCCCAGAGGCCCCTGACCCAAGGGACAGTGGGCAGTGACTCCAGAGGGCAGTGAAGGCATTAACGTCCAAAAGCGGAGATTCGGGCCTGAACTTGCAGAGATGATGTAATAAGTTGTCTGTGATTTAAAAGAGAGTGCCACAGTGATACCCGGACTGGATAGTGTTTCATGCCCTTAATCCCAGCACTAAGAGAAGCAGAGGCAGGAGGATCTCTGCGAGTTCCAGGCCAACCAGCACTACACTGACCCTGTCTTTTAAAAAAAAAAAGTTGTTTTGGGAACACAGGGAAGACAACTAATGGGCATCAAGTTAGACATCAGGGCAGGTTTTGTTCCAGCGGCTCCCCAAGGAACACAACGTGGAGCCCATCCCACGAGACCACACCCAGGCCTCGGGAACGCCCGCTAGCGACTGTGGGCGGGGCAGAGGGAGGAACTGGCGACCGCGCGCGCGAGACCGCCGGTGTGGCTCTCGCGATATTTCCGAAGCCAGAGCCGCACGCGGTGTCTGGTGCTTAAAACCCGGGCTGGGCGGGCCAGACGGTGCGGGGAGGGAGACGTTCTTTGGCCTGCCGTACGGAAGCCTGCGAGGGAGGGTGGTATCCACTCCCCAAGTCCAGTGTCCCGATGCCCAGCGCCAACGCCAGCCGCAAGGGTCAGGAGAAGCCGCGGGAGATCGTGGACGCGGCGGAAGTGGGTTTCCTTCTTCCCCGGGTTCGGGGAGCGCGCCGAGGGAGGGAGTGGGGCGATCGGGGCGCTCACTACTTTGGGAGCTCCCGCCAGCACTTTTCCTGCAGGCGGCGGGCGGCGTGGGGTGTCGCGCCGCAGACCAGTGTCCCCGAGGACTCACAGGGCCACGTCTTGGGCGCGCGGCCCGAGCAGCCTGGGACTGTGTGTTGGGAACCGTGGCCTAAGAGAAGCGTGTTCCCGGGGGCGGAGGGAGCCGGGTAAACGTGTGGCGCCCAATGAACCGGAAGTAGCTGCGGCGGCACTCGCACGAGCCTGCCTGAGTTAGCACGTCCTGCACGTAACACACCATTCCAGTCCCCGGAAATTTTTGATGAAAGCCCTACTAATCGATATCCTCTCAGCCCTCATCATGGTTTGGCATGTAATGACAATCTCTTGCCAAAACTGGCCGCTGGTGTGTTTAAATGACTTTTTCCTTGTGACAGCTGTGAACACATGTTATCTTAATTCCTTTCTCTGTGACCTGCTGATAACCCTCAGGGATCCTTTATCACTTTCCAGAAATCGAATTTTGAAACCCTCCTTCAAGTTAGGTGTATTGTGGTAATACTTAAGCCGTAATCTTTGGCTCCTAATTTTTTTTTTGGTGGAGAAAGTCAACATTTGTGATAACTACATCATAACTCAGAATATTAAGTTTCAGTGTAGCTCTGCTGAAGTGTGAAATCTAAATAGAAAAGGTAACACTTCCCCCCTTTGGTTTACACGCTGCCACCTATTTATTATGACTTCGGGTTTCATTATGTGACAGTCTTTCTACTGTGCCCCAGGTGTTATTTCTCAAATATATATTTTACAAATATTCAAAAGTAATTGCTTGGTAAGACCCATAACATGTTTTATTTTGGTGTATTTGTAAACAAATAGAAAAAACAGTGTTTCTCATATTGAAGACAGAATTCCAAAGACCATTAGAAGGACAGAAACTGTACAGTCAGATCTTTCAAAACTACCTTGCAAAACATCTAAGGAAAAAATTTTTTGTGTGTCTAATCCTATACATTATCAGTGTACCCTTGTAAGTAGTATAGGTAGAAATATAGACTAAGTAGACATTGTGATAGAGCTCTGAAAGTAAGTGGAAGGAACTTTTAGGATCATTTTAGGGGTGATGTATGATTAAATGAAAGAGTACATACCTGTTTAATAAGTGTCTTGTAACCTGTTGTTAGGCGCCTGGGTTTTGGAAATAGGAAGTAAGTGAATTAATGGTGTTTTACAAAAACAGAGTTGTAGATAGCGTATATCCAGCAGCTCCAGTTTCTCAGCACTGAACATCTGGTGTTCAGAAACCTTACCCAAAGCATTGGTTCCCTTTGAACATCTCTTCCTGCAATAGGAAGTTAATAAAACTGTAGCACTTTATCCTACTCCCTTCACGGGGAAATTTATATCTCTCCTTTGAAGTAGATTAATCTTCTTTTCGGACAAGGTAGTTAAGATGCATTTTATGCATGTGTAAATTATACTAGAGTGCTATTATGCATGATACATTCATATATATAATAAATACGTAACTAGAAACTGGGTGCTTTTCTGTTTGCAGTAAGTACATACACAAGTAAACAAAATATTTTAAAATGTCTGCTTTCAAACTAATGATTGCAAATTAATACATAAGTGCTTGTATTTATGTGTTTAAAGTCATACTACAAAAAATACTTTTTTTCTAGGATTATGCTAAAGAAAGATATGGGGTATCCTCTATGATACAATCACAAGAAAAACCAGGTTAGTATCTTCTTACTAATTCTAGGAGAACACTTCATGAAGATTAAAATAGGATCTACCAAAGTGTTACTTACTCCAAAGGAATACTTTGAAAAATTTGAATGACATTCATGGCTCAGTAATTTTTTCTAATTTTTATTTTGAAACAGTTTTGTGTACTGGTATACCCAGACTGACCCTGGACTCCTAGTGTAGCTGAGAATGGCCTTTACGTTCTAATCCTCCCCTTTATACCTCTGAGTGCTGATTTAACCAGTGTGTGCTGACCACTCCTAACCAGATCTTGGGCATTTTCAAATCTATGTTTTAACCCCCCTCACTGTATACCTGACTGTTCTGGAACTCTCTTTATAGACCAGGCTAGCCTCCATGGAGATTCACCTGCCTGTACCTCCTGAGTCTTGGGATTAAAGGTGTGCATCACCACTGCCTGGCCAAGTCTACCTTTTAAACCTCAGGCTGCTTTGTCTTCTCTTTCACAGTGTGTCTTTCCTGGGTTTGCACAGTGAATGCAGAAGGTGGCTTGGTACACCATGCCCTTTGCTTTTGACCTTGAGAACCATAGTGTTCTGCAAACACATTTTCTACAGCTGTCTCTGCCTTATGAGACTAGTGTAGTTGGATGAAGTAGATGGCATACGTTGTAACTTGATCTTTAGAACATCCTCAAATTATTGTTGTCTTAATGCTCAAACTTTCCCCTAATTAAATTAGTATATTTTATTTAAAACAACAAATGATTTCTGGGGACTGGAGAGATGGCTCAGTAGTTAAGAGCACTGACTGCCCTTGTAGAGGACCAAGGTTCGATTCCCAGCACCCATATGGTTGCTCACAACCACTATGTAACTCCAGTTCCAGGGCATCTGATGCCCTCTTCTGACCTACACAGGCACTAGGCACGCAGGTGGCAAACAGGTCCATGTTCCAGCAAAACATTCATATACAAAAAATATTTTTAAAAAAGGAATAATTTCTGTAGCCAGGCAGTACCTCTAATGCCAACACTTGGGAGGCAGAGGCAGGCCTGGTCTACGGATCTAGTTCCAAGATAGCCAGGGCTATACAAGAGAAACTCTTGTCTTGGAAAAACCAAAAAAGAGGGAATGATTTCTGAATGTTGTTTCATAGCACTATCTCTACACAATAGTGGCTTTTTTTCTATTTGGGGGACTCTGAATGTACTATTTTGGTTACTGTTAGGGTGCATAATGGTTAGAGTTCATCTACTGCCAATGGGTTCATATACCAACTATAGGAAACAAATCACCATTGGCTTAAGGCAGTGGTTCTCAACTTTCCTAATGCTGCGACCCTTTGTTATAGTTTCTCATGTTGTGGTGACCTCCAACCATACAATTATTTCATTGCTACTTCATAACTGTAACATTGCTACTGTTGTGAATTATGATATAAATATCTGAAATGCAGGATAATCTGATACTTGATCCCTGTGAAAGGCTCCTCCAACCCCCAAAAGGTTTGATATCCACAGGTTGAGAATGTTGCATTAGAGACTATTAGTGCATCTTTAGTACTTTGTTTCTCTATCTCTGCTTCCTTTATCACTGCCTCACGGTCTCCTGTGAACCCATGCTAGTGGGGAAGATGGTAACTGCAGTGAAGATAGTGGAGAATTGTATTTAGGAAGTACAGTTCATAAAGGGGCATATTGCATGGGGGGGAACACTAACCAAATATTAAAGTGTTACCAAGTTTTTTAGCTAGGTTCAGACAAATAATTATGACTGTAAATCTAAATTTTAAAATGGCTTTACTGTGTATTACAGATAGAGTTTTGGTTCGAGTTAAAGACTTGACAGTACAAAAGGCTGATGATGTTGTTTGGGTCCGTGCAAGAGTTCATACAAGCAGAGCAAAAGGTAAGATTGGATCAATGATTATAACTATTTTGCTAAGCATGCTAATTTTAAAAAATTTTGTGTTTTGCTTTTGTGTGTGTCTGTGGGTATGTGTATGTATGCGAACAGGTGCCTGCAGAGTCCAGACAAGGGCATTGTATCCCCTGGGGCTGGGTTTTCAGACATTGTGAGCTGCTTAATGTTGGTGCCAGGAACAGAACTTGGGTCCTGAGAATGGAATATGAGTCCTGTGAAAAAGTTGTTCATACTCTTAACTGCTGGTCCATTTCTCTACCCTCTGTTCGTGTGTTATACTCTTAGAGTTGTAATTATTTCGATAAGAGAATTAAGTTGAGGGAGAAAACCAAAGACTGGGCTGTTGCATTAGGTAGTCATAGGTCATATGTAACTATTTAAAATCTAAGCCGGCGGTGGTGGCGCACACCTTTAATCCCAGCACTCGGGAGGCAGAGGCAGGCGGATCTCTGTGAGTTCGAGGCTGGGCTGGACCGACAGCCTCCAAAACAATACAAAGAAACCCTGTCTCATAAAAACCAAAAAAAAAAAAAATCTAATAGTTTTAGCTGGGCAGTAGTGGTACAGGCCTTTAATCGATTGAGTTCAAGGCCTGCCTAGTCTACAGAGTGAGCTCTAGGACAGCCAGGGCTACACAGAAAAACCTGTCTGGGGGGAGGATTTTTAACAGTTTTGTTCACTAGTTGTGTCTTGAACCATAAGTGCTCTCTTCCCTTTTGGACAATGCCAACTAAAAATGCATTAGCATCAGTAGAAACAATTGGGTTGTTTAAATCTCAATTTTAAAAATCTCTTCCATGTCTCTTAGATTTGGTTTGTTTGTTTGTTTGTTTGGGGATTTTGTTGTTTTGTGAGTTGTACTTTATTTTTAACTAGTGTTTTTGGTGCAGGTGCCCTTGCAGGCCAGAGGCATTAGATGCCTAGCTACTGAGTTACCCATGCTTGTGAGTTGCCCGATATGGATGCTGGGAGTGGCACTTAGCCTCTCTCATTACACATTCTTAACCACTGAGCCATCTCTGTAGTTTCTCTATTCAGATTTAAACACATCAGTGAGGCTGAGAGTGGTGGTGCACGTCTGTAATCCCAGTAAAATAGGGATTCCAGTTTGAGACCTACCTGGGTGTGTAGGCTGTCTCAAAAATGATATATTGAAATTGTTTGAGATAAACCTGATATTTTTTTCTTTTATACTGTATAACTGCTATGTTTGGGAAGTAAGTAGTATATTGCCATCATATGCTTCAACTTCTGTTACTTTCATGACAAATAATATCTTGCTCCTTGTATTTACTTACTCTTTTTCTTTCATGTTACCTGTTTTTAATTATTGCCTGTTTTGTTTTGGGTTTTTGGTGGGGGCAGGATTCAATGTTCTTGTCTCATAAATCTTTAAGAACTTCTATATATTAACCCTGTTACTTTTATTCAAGTCCCTTAGAACTGGAGTTATGTATGGTTTTGTGCTGCCACATGGCTGGTGGGACTCAGACTTTTAGTATTCTCTGGAAAAGCTGGCAGTGCTTTTAACTGCCCCTGTTCTATCATTTTAAAGGGTAGTTCTTCCTTTATTGTGGAACTTAGTACCCAGTCCCATTGTTTACTGGTTTTCTTCTTGGAGCAGACTGAGTCCTGAACATGCTCTTCTAGTGAGGCTCTTTGCCCCGATTTTTTGTTGTTTTAGGGTTGGGTTTGGGGTTTTGTTTTTTGATTGTTAGGGGTTTTGTTTGATGGCTTGGGGTTTAAGTTTTGGGGATATGGTTCCCTATATATAGTCCACAGTGGCCTCAACCTTAACTGTGTGGCTGTGGGTTTTCTTGTTCTCCTCCAAAGTTCTGGGATTATGGTGTGTACCACGACACCCAGCTTTATTCAGTTTTCCCCCCTTTCCTGGATTTCGTTCAGAGTTTCTCTGTAGCCCCATTCTTGGTTCTTGGGCTCCACAGATGTGTCAGACACTTCTGTGCTGGTGGTGTACTCTATCTAGTGTTAGAGCAGAGTGTGCTCAGGGACTGCTCTCACCCCTCCTTCCTGGCCTGTGGCCTTTTCTCTCCCTCCCTCCCTCCCTCCCTCCCTCCCTCCCTCCCTCCCTCCCTCCCTCCCTCTCTCCCTAGTCTGTAGCCTTCTTTCTTTCTTTTTTCCTCCTTCCTTTCTTTTTTTCCTCTTTCTAGTAGAAGAGGTTTACTTTTTAGGATTACATCTAATAAGTTAAGGATTTTTAAAAATATACTTTGCCCTTTTGGATTGCTTTTCAGTAGTAGATGTGTCAGATTTTCAGGTTTTTGTTTCCTTCTGTGTTAAACTCGTAAACTTTCCCACGTTCTCTTTACTCTGTGTGTTGAATCCTGTCCCCAGTCCCCCCCCCCCAAGGGTGGCATCCTGAATGTGTTCTATTTTCTTTTTAACCCTGACTTGCCTTCTGTGCCTTGTTTATGATTGTGTAAAATATTTTTTTAATTGTTGTTTTTTTCTGGCCTAAAAGGCTACTCAGTGATAAAGTGCCTGCTGCCTAAGCATACAGTCCTGAGTTCTGATCTACAGAACTTCTCTTAAGAGCCAGACACTGGCTGGGTGGTGGTGGCACATGCCTTTAATCCTAGCACTCGGGAGGCAGAGGCAGGCGGATCTCTGTGAGTTCAAGCCGGGCTGGACCGACAGCCTCCAAAACAATACAGAGAAACCCTGTCTCGTAAAACCAAAAAAAAAAAAAAAAAGAGCCAGACACTGGCATGCATTTATAACCCCATCACTGAAGTGAGGGAGCATTCCTCAAAGTCTGCTGGACAGCTAGAGTAGTCAAAATGGCAAGCTTCAGGTTCAGAGACTGTCTCAAAAATAAAAGGTAAAGGGCCAAACTAGATGCTTAGTGGGTGAGGGTGCTTGTCACCAAGCCTGACGACCTGAGTTATATCCTGGGAATCTACATAATAAAAGTAGAGAACCAACTCTTACAGGTTGTCCACTGACTCTGTGTGTGTCTGTGTCTGTGTGTCGGGGAGCTGGGGGGCTATTGAGGAAAAGACATCCTGACATCAACCTCTGGCCTACGCACATGTCTATGTAGGCACACACACTAGACCACACGTGTGCATGCCCCATATACATATTTTTAAGAAATTTTCTAATTAGGAAAGAGTTTATTATTGAAAGGTGCGTGTGTGTGTGTGTGTGTGTGTGTGTGTGTGTGTGTGTGTATGTTGTGGTTGTTTTGTTTTATTTCTGAAAGTTTATGTATTCCTGGTTGGCCTGAAAGTCATTATATAGATAAAGTTGGCCTTAATGTCACAGGGCAGGGTGCAGAGATTAAAAGTGTGTACCACCATGCCTGGCCTATAGAAAGTTTTGAATATAGAACAATAGGAAGAGCAAAATTCCTGTAAGTTGTTACTAGTCACTTTCTGATGGTTTTTCCCCCTAAACAATCAATCTTATACACTTTTTTACGTAATTAAAATTTATTTTATGTGTATGAGTGTTTGCATGTATGTGTGTACACCACATGGGTATAGTCTCTGGGATCAGCAGAAAGGTTGTTGGATCCTGGAACTGGAGTTACAGAGAATTATGAGCTGCCATGTGGGTGTGGGGAACTGAACCTCTGTCAGTAAGTGCACTTAACTTCTGAGCCATCTCTCCAGCCCCTTAATATACTTAACAAAAACAAAATTGGAACTGTATATACAATGTGATCAGTTTTTTAATGTAAATGTCTGCTGAATATTTAGCTTCATATTCTCACATCCCGTAAAAGTTGTGCATAGTTATCCACCTGCAAAATAGGAATGACACAGTCCTTCCTCAAATAAGTCACCAATATTAGAAATGCTGTTAACAATAAAAAGTAAATATATAATCCCCAAAATAAAAGAAAACTAAACCTTCAAGAAGTATGCTAGTCTCCATTTTGCAGATGAAAAACAGAGACCTACAGTGGTTTCATAGTTTTCCCCAGACCACTTTAGAGAAGTGATAGGATATGATCCTTGGCCTTCAGATTTCAGAATCTTGCTGGGTGGTGGGTGACCCACACCTTTAATCCCAGACCTGTCCCCTGTTCCACTCGGAGAGTTCCAGGGCAGAGAAACCCTATCTCGGGAAATCCGTCCAACCAAACAAATGAAAAAATAGGTTTTGAAGTCTTTATTCTACCAAACCATTAGGTGGAGTGTTAATCCTTAGTTGCTGACCCTTTGTGCACCCCTCAGAACTGTTTGCTCAGGGTCTTTGTGCTGCTTTAGAATTCTCTGTTTTTTGTTTTTTTTGTTTTCTTTTTTTTTTTTTGGTTTTACGAGACAGGGTTTCTCTGTTTTGGAGGCTGTCGGTCCAGCCTGGCCTCGAACTCACAGAGATCTGCCTGCCTCTGCCTCCCGAGTGCTGGGATTAAAGGCGTGCGCCACCAACGCCCAGCGAATTCTCTGTATTTTATTGCTGGGTAGCTTTGGGATGCAGGGAGGACTGAGTTGCTTCTATGTGAACTACTTCAGCAGCTAAAATGCTGTTTCCTCTCAGCCTGCACTGGGAGGTAGGTAGGTGTGTGTGTGTGTGTGTGTGTGTGTGTGTGTGTGTGTGTGTGTGTGTGTGTGTGCGCGCGCATGCACACACACAGTGCCTTCCATTTCTTATTATATTGTCTTCTAAGTGGGACGAGATCCAGTTGGTTCTGTAGTAGTATACTTAGATAATGCCATTTTGATTAGGTGCAAGCTTTGGGGATAATTTTTATCATCTAATACCTTAAATGCCTTTGAATTTGTTTACATTTAACTTGTATTTGATTGTACTGTAAAACAAGAGGGGAAAGTAGTATCTTTTTTCCTGATATATCTGTCGATTATGTAACTGCTAAGTCAGTAAGTTATATCTCTTTTGATATTTTGCTTGCAACCTGCCTTTTTATTTTTAAATTTTTTATTTATTTTTGATTTGTAGTTATGTAGACCAGGTTGGTCTCATTCACAAAGATGCACCTTGCCTCTGCCTCCAAAGTGCTGAGATGGGATCAAAGGCATGTATCACCATGCCTGGCTAACAATTTATGAGTGTACCATGAGTGCATTTTAAAATACTGTGTGTTGAAAATAGTAATTATCTGCTTCACTTTTTTCTGTTTTCTTTTTTGCAAGGCTAACTCTTAATATAAAAGATTAATAAAAATGATGGGCTTGTGATGTTTCCTAAGACAGTCTGATGAGAAAAGTGGTCTTGGGAAGATGATTCACTTTTATGAGGAAATGGTTTTCTAGAATTTGATCAGAGACTTACAGTGATCTATCTGCTTTGGAGGGAGAGGGATGGATGGCACAAGGATGCACGAGTGTTGATTTTCAGGTTAAGAATAAGAAATGACAGCTCTCTGGGAAAGAAGGGGAAGCAAGAGACCCACAACATGTGAATAGAAAACTGGTTATAGGACTTTTTTTGGAATTTTACTGACAAAAGTGAAATTGATTGAAGTTTTAAAATGTGTGACTATTGCAGAGGACAAGGGACTGGAGAAATGGAATGTGAAAGGACGTAGCCTGTTACTCTATGTCCTCTTTAACTTGTCCTTTGGAAGGAAGAATTCTGTAGGTGGACCACCCTCAAAGAGCACTTGTATTCTGACTAGTAAACACTTTATTAGCACTTTTGTGATTGCATGATTGAAGTTGCCATGGTAGTTAACTCATGTCTTTGCCAGTAGAATACAGAAGCTATTGGTTGAATGATGAAAGTCATCTGAAACAACTTGTAACTTAATGTTACAAAATAATCTTCTAGATTTATGTATCTCTAGCTGTAAATACGTGATTTACCTATGTTCTCAAAAGAAACCTGTCAGATGCTTATTGAAGCTGGTGTTAAAACTCGTCAGTTAAGTAAGTGTGGATATTTTGACTGTGAATGCTGATACCTGCATTGTAACACATGCATATACCTGATGAGTACATAGATTTTGACCTAATTTTAAAGCAGAGAAGCTTTTTCCTTTGTAAAACCTAGAATGGTGTACCACATTCTTTGTGTCTCCTGCAGGGAAGCAGTGCTTCTTAGTCCTGAGGCAGCAGCAGTTTAATGTCCAGGCTCTTGTGGCTGTGGGAGACCATGCGAGCAAGCAGATGGTTAAATTTGCTGCCAAGTAAGTAAGCAATTATATCCTGTTGTCAGAAGAAACAATGGTGGGAACCAAGACTCCCAGGGGTTTGGACCATTTTCATACATTAACATCAATGCTTCGTTTGTTTAAAAATGTAGTTATTTAAATTGTCAGTTCAGTGTTGCTTGAATACATTAAACTCACAAAAGAGAAAATATGGAGCACAGGCTTGTGATTCATTTGGAACTGCTGAAGCTGCACTCTTCACAGACAAGTCACATTACTTTCAAGTAGAGCAACAAAAAGCCTGGCATACTCAACAGGGCACACAGCAACTTGATTTTGTTGTGTTGTTGAGCTTCGTTTCCTCCTCTCCCCCCTCCCCTTTGAGATTTGCATAATGAGCAACAAGTTTTCTGACGGAATAATAAAAGAACATAAAATAAGGCAGTGTACTTTCTCAGATGATTTCCCCCTGAAGGAAGTCAGACATGCATTAATAATGTTACAACTTTTAACTCTGACACCAAAGAGTTAGGGGGGGAAAAAAGAGATAAAACTTGCTTTCCCCCCAGCTGCAAAGGTAGTGCTGTCTAGCTCAGAGCTCTACAGAAGCACATGGTTTTGTTGGTTTGGTTTGCAAGAAACAGGGCATTGAGATAGGAAAGAAGTGTGGTGGGTGCTCTGACTCTGAGGTAATGAGAGTTTCGTTTCATTTTTGGTTCATGATGTGGCTGTTTTGTTAGCTGTTTTTTTTTTTTAATTTAGTATTCCCATAATAATGATTAAAGAAGACATAGGGAGATGGGTAGATAGTCTACATTTTAAGTAATAAGAGTAGGTATTTTTAAAGTAAGTAAAATCTAAAGCAAATACTGTGTTTTTCTATTGATTGTTTTGAAATCTCTGAATTCTTTAGATGGAGGCTTTTTACATTTTTAACTGATTTTTATTGTTTATGTGTATGAGTGTTTTGCTTACATGTATGTATGACACATGTGTGTCTGGTGCCAAAAGGCCAGAAAAGGGCATGAGAGCCTCTGAAACCAGAATTACAGATGGTTATGAGCAGCCATGTGTGGCTTCTGGAAACTGAACCTGGGTCCTCTGGAAGAATAGCAAGTGCTCTTAACCGCTGAACCATCTCCAATCCCTAGATGCATGTCTTCAAAGACAAGCTAGTGTAGATGGATTCATGAATTCTGGAATAGAAAGAAACTAACAAATGATCTAATATAACATCTGAATTTGTGTTGAACTCTCCCTGGCCCCAAGACAGTGAAGTTCTTAGCAACTGGGTTTGGGTTAGAGATTTACTTCAGTCAGTTTTATTATTACATAGTAACATCTGTATTTACATTTAAAATTTTTGGCACCACAGATTTCATAACTCAATGGTAAGTTTAGTGTAGTCCTATCAGTGTGGTAGCCCCACCTCTTCCTTGGTCTTAGACTGCTGTCAGATATCCACTCTGGTCTGGTCATTAGGTTTTTTTCATAGACTGAATGTGCTTGTGATATGCAGGTTAGTGTGTGTCCACTTGTACATACTAACTCTGATCCCTGTTGATACGTTGTATCTATATAGAAAATCTTTGGTATAAAAGGAAAAAGATGGCCATGGAAATCACAGATGTCTGTGCTAAACTTTATTTAATATTCCTAAAATACTAGGTAAAAATCAACCTCAAAAATATCTGTGGATTTTTTGTCTTTTATGTATCATTTAGTTCTGGGAAATGAATAAGCTTACATAGCACATACTTCTTCTGTTAGGTTGTTATAGCTTCAGTGTTACATTCCTAAAGAGGATATTGTAGTTGAAAAGTCTTCTGAGAGCTGGCAAGATGATCTGCTCAGAGGTTAAGAGCACTGCCTGCTCTTCCAGAGGTTCTGAGTTCAATTCCCAGCAACTAAATGGTGGCTCACAACCATCTGTAATGAGATCTGGCGCCCTCTTCAGACATGCAGGCATACAAGCATGCAGAACACTGTATATATAATAAATTAAAAAGTAACTATTCGTATGTTGAATATTTATAAAGAAAAGTCTTCTGAAAATCCCATTAATCTTTAATATTCACTGAGGGGCCTCCTCCTGATTGTGGGCAGTCAGAGTCTGTGATATCTAACATAATCCACAAAAAGTACTCAGATTGTTTGCATCTTTCAGGAATTCCTGGGAAATAAACAAATAGCAGCAATTGATCTGTCAGCCAAAATTAATTAGCTGATAGAAGTACTTACAAATAGTCTCCCAAGCAGAATGCAGTTCACAGTGTTCCCATATTCATAAAGAAAGGCCAGGCTTCCGTGCAGAAGCGACAGTCAAGAATGATTTTTCTTGGGCTAGCCAGTTGATAAAGTACTTGCAGAATACCTAAGTTCAATCTCTAAAAACCATTGAAAAATCCAGGCATGGTGATGTGTTCTTATACCGACACTGGTAAAGCAGGGACAGGAGGATCCCTGGGGCTTACTGATCAACCAACCTATTGTACTAGACAAGATCCAGGGCAATGAGAGACCATATCTCAAAACAATGGTAGATGATTTTTGTTTCAGATTTATTTATTTATTTTAGGTATATGAGTGCTCAATCTGCATGATCCCGCTATAGATGGTTATGAGTCACCATGTGATTGCTGGGAATTGAACTCAGGACATCTGGAAGAGCAGCCAGTGCTTTTAACCGCCGAGCCGTCTCTCCAGCCCTGGTAGATGATTTTTGAAGAATGTGATGTCCATGGTTGTCCTCTAATCACCATGGGCATTCATTCACCTACTCACAAATACAAGAAATTAATTTTCTTTTAAACAAGAATATAGATAATTCTATATTCATCGTTTATGAAATAGAACTCTATCAAGATCTGGATGACATTTATACTAAACAGATAAGCTGTAATTTTTTTAAGTTTGTTTCTATTAGTGTGTTAAAAATTAGACTTTATACAGTTAGCAATGTGTGGGAAAGGTAAGCTATTACAAATTACAAAGCCTTTAGTTATATACAAGTGATGGAGCCAGTTTTCTCCAATAGCCTTAACACGTGGTACTTAGATTATAATTGTATACCTTTTGGCACTAATATACTAAAGAATTAAGCCAGAGCAATTAATAGTAGGTGTATTGATGGCTTTGGTTACCTTGTGAGGTAATTATAACTTTGTCTTGTGACAAAGACTCATTCATAGTTATAATTTAGGTGTTGGTAGTTGCTTGGGCTACTTGATAAGACAGCTTTCTTAAGAAAATTAATGCAAACTCCTCATGAGTATAACACTGGTTTGATGTTTCTCTCTTTAACCAAGAAAATTCAGGATTGAAATACTGAGTGTTTTGACTAAGCTTCTGTCTCTAGGGTAGGGCTCACCTTGTAGCCTCTATATCAACTTGCCTGCCTCTTTATGATGGTAGCTCAAAGCCTTCCATAGAACAGGTCTGCTTATTAGACACTACCCCCAAGTTAGAGTCAAATTAGAGGGAAACTTTAAAAATATAATTCATTGGGCTAGGTAGGCATGGTGGCACACACCTTTAATTCCAGAACTCAGGAGGCAGAGGCAGGTAATCTAAGTGAAGCACATCTCCAGTTATGCCTGTGAGGTGTTTCTAGAAAAGATTAACTAGGGAGAGACAGCCCCCCTGGACTAGGAGCCTGGCTGAATGAAAGTGGAGAGTCGGAGTTGGGATACAAGCACAGGCTTCCTTTCTCTGGGCTTCCGTGAGGTGAGCTGCTCTAAACTCCTTGCCTGAAATGCTCAAACCCACAGCAAAATAAATCCTACTTCTAAGTTTTTTTGTCAAATATTTTGTCACAGCATTGGAGATTCTGATTTACACAGTAAGGGAAATATTTTTAATTTTAAATTTAATTTAAAGGTTTTCTAATGCTAATACTAATGAGTCAGTCTCTTTTATAAAGCATGAATGCTTTCCCAAGGAATCACCCCGTTATTTTTAAAAGCATGCTGTAAAAACAGTGGGAGAAAAAGAATTGTAGCTGAATTTCTGGTTTGCAATGATAATTTTTCTGCATAATTTCAGTAATAAGAAATTTAATAGTTATAAACATGAAACCTTGACGTTACCAATAGATCTAACAATCCCACATAAAGTACGTCTTTGGCCTGTCAGCAGTGTATTTTATAATTCCTTTCGCTGCCATTTTGAGGAATGAGCTGCAAAATCACCCAGGGAAGCAGCTGTGGGGAATGCAACTGTTGGGGAAATGTGACTACAGACTTAGGATTTAAAGTGACTGTTTGCCTTCTGCTAAGTGCCTGCTGCTAAGTGGTGCTTAAGACATTGTCAATTGTGTTGTTGTGTGACATACACATCCCTAAATATCACTATGCTGTGTGAACTTGTACAGTCACAGTTTATGGACAAGTGAGGCTAATAGCATAACACTGAAAACTTTAATCCATGGCACATTTTTAAAGGGCAAGAATTTTACTTTCTAAAGGTAGGTTGAACAATTTCACAAATGTTGGGCAGTCAATAAATACACAAGTAGTAAATGTGGCACTTTTCTTTGAAAAAAGTATCTGTAGTTTGCTTGTGCAAAAGCCTCCAGAGATGTAGCTTATGCTGTTGTGAAGTGGTTGTGAAAGCTGCCTGGAGTGGGAGGGAGGGTGGGACGTCAAGTGTAAATGGGTATAGCTAATAACTCGGGTCACAGGGGATGTTATCAGTGTGTGCTCTGAGTTTCTTCATGGTTGAGGTCACCCATGTTACCACTGTGATCACTGGCATTGTGTTTCTCCTTGACGATGCCTAGCAGAGATTGGTAACAAATTATCTTGTTGGCATTGTTCCATCAAATTGTCTTCTTGAGAAAAGCCTTACCTGTTTTCTAACTACTGCTGTGTGGGAATGAGGAAAATAACAGGAATAGAAGATGGCTTCCAAGTGTGGGGGACTCAGTAGAAATAGCCCCGATGCTCTACCATCATCCTGGTTTCTTAGAACCCTTCCCACACTGCTCCCCATCATCTTGTTCCTCGCCTAGAACTCTGTTACCCTCTGCTGCTTTC